GGAGGAGGAGGAGGAGGAGGAGGAGGAGGAGGAGGAGGAGGAGGAGGACAGAAGCCAGCACGCCGAACAAAGGCTCGAGTTCCCCAGGCCAGTACGTGCAGAGCAGGGAACGCCGCGGGCTCGCAGAGAACGGCCGAGCAAGTGCAGAACTGCACTCGGAAGAGTTCTGGGTATCCGCGTCTCGGTCGGCCCTGCCACTTCTGGCACCAGGTCGGCCTGCCGCTTCTGGTCAGCCCGAGCGGACGGGTTGGTGGAAAGGGCCGGGGCACTCAACGGCTCGACATCATGGTCACGGGTTCTGAAGCTTCTCGCCGTCTCATGGCCTCCCGGGGTCCTCTCCGGGCCCCGGGACTATCAGACAACTGCTCAGGACGAACAAACCAGCCCTGGGGAAGGTAGGCCATAGGGTCTACAGTCGGCCACGCGCAGAGTGGGGTAGGGGGAGAGGGGAAGGCTTCTTGGCAGCACCCTGCTTCTTAGAAGGGGCGGGCCTTGTCTGGGGATGCAAGGCTGGCGCCTTCGAAGAAGCGGCCTCCTTTAATAAGAAGCCTTCCCCCCCTCCCCCTACTCTATATTCAATATATATATAGAGAGAGAGAGAGAGAGAGAGAGAGAGAAACAAACAAAACAGATAACGAGAGAGAGAGAGAGAGAGACTGAAACAGAGCGAGAGCGAGATAACGATAATATCGTGTAGCACCGAAGTGCGTCTCGTGTCCTTCCCGCGCCCCCCTCGGCTAGACCTTGCGCTGGCATGCCCGCCCCCCCCCGATGTGCCGCGACGGCAGCGCGAATGCCCCAGGCGCGGGGGGCAGCCGAGACGCCTGCCTAAGACATCTCACGACGTTGAGCCAATGGATTTCTAGACGCTCGCTGAAAGTATGTCTTCCTGGATTCCAGGATTCCAGTATGCTTTAGGCGCCCTCATGTTTTCTAGAGTCGAGTGGGCTTCGCTATTCCTTCCTCTCCAGGGGGCGGGCGAATACGAGATGCATTCTCAACGCCCTGCAACTTCATGTTTCTGTTCACTTCTTCCGATCGGTGTGTGCGCTTCGGGCACCCTCTCACGTGCAACTGGAGGTGACCCCTGCCCCCTCCCCGCGCTGAAGGGTCGCCGATGTCCACTCCCCGCTCCCACTGTTTCTGCTCCGCCTTTCCAACCCCCTCGCGCTCTGCCGACGGATTGGGGCGGGGATGGCCGCCTCGCGCGCCCGCAGAGAGGTCCGCCCCGAGGATGGGCAGCCCCCCGCATCCGCCTCCGGCCGGCGGCCAGCGTGGCATGGCAGACAGCCAGCGCTGCCGTGGGCGCAAGATCAGCCCGACCAGGCGCGCCAGACTGCGCGTCGCGAGGGGCAAGCGCGGGGTATGGATCCTGCATCTGGCCTTGATGCAACATGTCAACGGACCCCCCTCTTCCTGCTTCTCCTCCTCTGCATCCTCCTCCTCCTCCTCCTCGTCCTCCCCAGTCCCAGGCTTCCCCCTTCTCGTGGTGTGCCTCGTCCTCAACATCGCCTTCCTGTGCTCGCTGTCCTGCTGCCAGGACCTCGCGCGCAAGGCGCCTCGTCGTCGTCGCCTTCGCCGCCGACGTCCTCTTCGTCGCGTCGCCGTCGTCGTCGTCGTCGTCGTCGTCGTCGTCGTCGTATCGTCGTCGTCGTCGTCGTCGTCGTCGTCGTCGTCGTCGTCGTCGTCGTCGTCGTCGTCGTCGTCGTATCGTCGTCGTCGTCGTCTTCGTCGCCGCCGCCGCGCCGCAAGTTGTCGTTGCCGTCGTCGTCGTCGTCGTCGTCGTCGTCGTCATTGTCGTCGTTGCCCCAGTCCTCCCCTTCGTCTCTGTCCGCCCTGCCCTCCCTCTCTTGCCCCCCCACGCTTCCCTCCTCGCTCCCTTCCTCCGCCGTGCTCCCTCCCCCCCCCCCGCTGACCTCCTGCTCCCTCCCCTACCCTCCTCTCCCCTCCCCTCCATGTTCCTGCTCCCCGTGCCTCCTCGTGGTCCTCCCGCTGCCGGGGGAGGAGGAGGAGGAAGGCGTGCGTGTTGCCGGAGGTGTGCTCGGCCACGTGCAGAGGGCGGTATGGGGGGAGGGGGGGAGGCTTCTTCGAGGCACCCCTGCTTCTCAGATGGCGCGGGCCTTGTCTGCAGATGTAGGGCCGGCGCCTTCTGAGAAGCAGCCTCCTCCTAAGAAGCCTGCGCCCCTCCCCCATACCCCCCTGTGCGCGCCGCCAGTGCGTGCGCGATGAGACATTCAGCAACACACGCGCTTGCCAGAGGAGCTCGCGCAGTTGGGTAGCATCCGGTGGCACAACTGGCCGTGTCTTGCCAGAGGTGGTACTGGTCCCAGCCGGCGCTGGGATCCCCGGGGAGGCCCAGATGGCTTCCAGGCCGCCCATCACGAGGTCCAGAGGGCCCCAGGGGCTCCAAGGCAGCGCGAAAAGCTGGAGGAGGAGGGGGAGGGGGAGGAGGAGGAGGAGGAGAGGAGGAGGAGAGGAGGAGGAGGAGGAGGAGGAGGAGGAGGAGGAGGCGGAAGAGGAGGAGGAGGAGGAGGAGGAGGAGGAGGAGGAGGAGGAGGAGGAGGAGGAGGAGGAGGAGGAGGAGGAGGAGGGGGCGCCTTGGGCCAAGGGGCACCTCTGGCAGCTTCCGACAGGGGTCGTGCGGGCCGTGGCGCCGCCTCCCCCCGTCGGAGCCCGGAGAGCTGCGAGGGCGTCTTGGGCGAGGCGGGGCGGGGAACCCCCCCCTCGCGCACGGCGTTGGGGAGCCCGGAGGCGGCATCGCCCAACCAAACTTATACGTTTTTTTTTGTTTCCCCCCAACAACTTATACGATGTGTGCGTCGGCCGCCCTGGGGCGACGCGCGCGCTCAGAGCCTCTTGCAGCACCTGCTCGGTGGCGGGTGCTGGTTTGGCCATGCCGCCTGGGCAGCGATGCAGTCCAAGACTCTTGTGCTGCATGTGCGAGCCGGGCGTGCGCCTCCCAGGGGGGCGCCTAAGTACCAGCATGGCCTTCTGCCGCCGCATGGGCTTTGGTGTAGTTTGCGCGGCACGCCGTCCTTGACTGAGCCGCTGTGTGAGGCCTCATTCAATAAGTGGTCGGCGGGACCATCTGGGGATTGATGCACACACGGCGCCCTGTGCTGTTCTCGTCTCCTCCTCCTCCTCCTCCTCCTCCTCGTCTTCTTCCTTGGGTTCGCAGTTTTGTTAGTCAGACGCTTGGCAGGCTTAGTCGCAGCGGCACGCTTGTGGGCCGCATTTGTTCGGTCTCCCCTCACGCCCTCCGGGGTGATCTCACCCCTTGCTCCGCGACGCGCTGCTGGGAGCCGCAAAACTCGTGTGTGCTTCTGCTCGGAGGGAGGAGGAGGAGGAGGAGGAGGAGGAGGAGGAGGAGGAGGAGGAGGAGGGGGAGGAGGAGGAGGAGGAGGACAAGCTAGGTGCGCTCGCGTCATGTCTGACATCCTACCCCTCCCTCCCATCCCTTACCATGGCGCAAATCCCCTTCTCTACTCGCACAGTCGGATGTCGAGCAGGGCAATGATCCCGAAAGGGTACGCGATGCATTGTAGAGCACGGCATGGCATGGCGTAGAAGAGCACCGCAAAGCGTAGTATCAACCTAGCATTGCATTGCACGCCGTGGCATGGCACGGGAAATGACGCCAGCGCTGCAGCGGGAGCACGAGTCGAAACGAGCGGAAGCGCGGAAATAAGGCCAGCGCTGCAGCGGGAGCACGATTCGGAACGAGCGGAAGCGCGGAAATGAGGCCAGCGCTGCAGCGGGAGCACGATTCGGAACGAGCGGGGCCCGAAAATGAGGCTGGCGCCCCAGCGAGAGCAGCATTTTGAAAACAAATGCAAGCGAAAACCCAACTCCCGGGAAACCTGTGTGTAAAAAACAGGACGCGGGGAGGGGGGCGAACACTCCCAGCACGTCATCAGGGGAAGAGGGAGAGTAGTATTCATATTGAGTAATTGTGGAGGAGGAGGAGGAGGAGGAGGAGGAGGAGGAGGAGGAGGCGGAGGAGGAGGAGGAGGAGGAGGAGGAGGCCTGCCGCACCGCCTCGCGCACGGCCTGCACGGCCCGGAGGCTCTCGGAGGGCGCCCCGTGCGCAACGCCGGGCGCCGGGCGGCCGGGCTCTGGAGGGTGCCTCTGGGAGCGACGCGCCGGGCGCCGGCCCCTCGGCTGGAGCAGTCTTCTTTGACACCGTAGGTCGCACCCAGCGACGAGGAGGAGGAGGAGGAGGAGGAGAAGGAGGGGGAGGAGGAGGAGGGGGAGGAGGCGGAGGAGGAGGAGGAGGAGGAGGAGGAGGCGGAGGAGGAGGAGGAGGAGGAGGAGGAGGAGGAGGAGTCTTAGGTGCTCGCTTTGGGGTCCTCCCTGCGGCCCACCAAAGGGATCTGTTCGGCTCCAGGTCGAGTCCAGTTCGGCTCCAGCTCGGCTCGAGCTCGACTCCAGCTCGGCGCAGGTTGTGACTCGAGTTCGGCTCCAGTTGATTGACGTTCGACGCAGCATCGGCGCATGAGTGCAGCGGGTGGCTTCATGAAGGCCCCCAGAACGAGCATCTAAACATTCGGGGTCCAAGAAGGGTCTGGTCAGCGCTCGGGTCGGCGAAGTCCTTCAAGGTGATGTACAGGATGCCCACATACTGGCCTGACTCATTGGTCCTGAGGCGGCTGTTCCACGGCTGATTGGTCAGGTCAGTGCTCGGGCGGCTTCGCTGGCATTCGAGCATCGCCCGAGTCTGCTCTTTCTGGGCGCCGGGGCCGTCAAAGCAGAACGACTCGGGATAATAAGTTGATCCCAAGGGAAGGAGGTCGAGAGGCTCTGGAGGCACGTAAAGGTGGATGGCGGTTCAGGGAAGCACACGGGGGAACGGCTTAGAACATTGCCGATCTGATAGAGAGGACCACCAACCAATCTCAGCGACGGCAACGCGGCCCACGAGCAGGCCTGGGACCCGATGCATCCATCATCGCCCTGGGCACTGCTCCTTGACGGGTCCTCCCGGGCCTTTCTGAGTTCGGCGCCGCGCCGAGGCTTTCCGGGGAAGTCAAGGCCTTCCGAGCCTTCTGCGAAGGCCCGCCTCCTCTGCCTCCTCCCTCCTCCTCCTCCCTCCTCCCTCCTCCTCCCTCCTCCCTCTCCTCCTCCTCCTCCTCCTCCTCCTCCTCCCTCCTCCTCCCTCCCTCCCCTCCCTCCTCCTCCTCCTCTCCTCCTCCTTCCTCCTCCTCCTCCCTCCTCCTCCTCCTCCTCCTCCTGCTCGCCCGGAGTGAGCAAAAATCATCCCAGTGGAGATCTGGGGCCCGTCCTCGGCACCCTGCAAAACGGAGTAGCTCCCGACGCTCAGCTGCCTCGATGCGCCCGTCTTGACACGCAGCACGTGCCGTGCGCAAAGCGTCCGTGTGGATACGTTGCGTGCTGGCTCGGCGTGTTGGCCCTTCGTTTTAGCGAGCGCATCGCGTCGTACCTGCGGTCTCAGTTTCCACGTGTTGAGCTCCGTGCCAATATGCTACGTGTGGCGTGTAGCGTATCGGGGCAGCTAGGTCCCGACGACTCGAAGGTCCCACCCCGCCGCGGTCGCCAGGTTCCAACCAACTACCTGCTCCTCTTCGGCTTCACGGCCACAGAGGGCGTGTTGGTGGGTGTGATCTGTTCGGCGCCTTCGCACCCCGTCGTCGTCGTCGTCGTCGTCGTCGTCGTCGTCGTCGTCGTCGTCGTCGTCGTCGTCGTCGTGGTCGTTGTCGATGCAGCCGTCGTCGTCGCCGTCGTCGTCGTCCTCGTCGCCGCCGCCGCCGCTGCCGCCGCCACCGTCGTCACCGTCACCGTCACCGTCGTCGTCGTCGTCGTCGTCGTCGTCGTCGTCGTCGTCGTCGTCGTCGTCGTCGTCGTCGTCGTCGTCGTCGTCAACGTCGTGGTCGTCTTCGTGGTCGTCGTCGTTGTCTTCGTCGTCGTCGTCGTCGTGGTCGTCGTCGTGGTGGTGGTGGTGGTCGTCGTCGTCGTCATCGACGGGAGGGAGCTTGAGGGGGAGAGATGGTAGACATTTATGGCAGAGGAGTGTCTGCTGTACGATGCTCTCCTTCTCCCGCCTTCGCGCCTTTCCAGCTCCTGTTGTGCTTTATATGGCCCCACATTATTCCACGGTTGCCTCGACCGCGGCTTGGTGCAAAGTCGCTGCGGTCAGCCGATGAGACGGGGCCTCGCTGCTTCTCTACATTTGGTTTCCTGGGCTCCAAGAGGCGTCGAAGGCTGCCCGAGAGGGCACCCAGAGAGTACAAAGAGGGCACCATGAGGGCACCACGGAGAGTCCAATGTGGCTCAACACGGGGTGGATGGCTCCAAATTGCAGTTCGACATCCCGGTCTTGGGCCCCTCGCCAGGGCTTCCTGGGAGCCTCCTGGACTTATCCTGGGGGCCTCAGATTACCTCTTGGGCGGTTCTTTGGGGCCTTTTGATCCGTCGTGGACGCGCTGAAGATCAAACCACCGACTACCCAAACATCATACAGCAACTCACCTCTTTCAATGACTTTGGCCCCTTGGGCCAGCATCCAGGGTCTCCAGGACGGCCAAGGATGTCCCATAAGGGTTCCCAGGACGTCCTTCGGGGCTACCGCGAGTTCCTGAGCCTGTGTGAGCGTTGCGCGGAAAAGTATCGGAAGATGTCGAAGGTAATCTGGGCGAGTTGGGCATCCCAGAGGCCAATGCGACGACCGCAGGAAGTGTCCCTAAGCGCCAAGGATTGCCCAGGAATTCCGGCAACTTGGTGGTTTGGTTTGTGAGGGAGCCCAAACATCCTTATGCCACTCTCATCTTGACGAGCCTTGGGGCTCAGCCCTACGTTCTGAAGGCACGGAGACGGCCGTGCGCAACAGAAGCTATTCAAGTATGTCCCTGTGTAGTTCGATGAACGACATCAGCAGAATGCATGGCTGCCAAATTGCTGAGTTGCCGAGGGGAGTGCAACGCTGCTATCCGCCCAACTAGACGGGTAATAACCAGCCGCTAAGTTGCCGAAGCTTCATGACTCCTCTTCGCGGCCTGATGGCCTGCACAAGCAGGTTCGGCGTGTTTTTCAGAATGACGGCGAAGCATCAGCGGGACGGCTGAGTTGGAGGGACACGCGGGCGGGGGGGGGCACAGCGGAGGGACCACACCAGGATGTACACATACGGTTTCTAACTCTCATTCGATCGTGCGGGGGGCTGCTGACGAGCGGTCTCTTGTGCGTTTCTCGCGTTTCATATCCTCTTGCGTAAGATAGCACTGAACTTGTGCTACGCTGCTCGATGTGATTCTTTCATCTGCGCTACTCTTGGCGCTTCTTCTGCCTGCTAGGTGTACACCATCAACTCCATATTGTTCGCCGTCGCGGCAACTTCCTTCCTCGTGGGCGGCCTCAGCTGCTACGCGATGTATCCAGCTGCCTGCGGCACGTCTCGCCGCCGCGTCAGCCCAGAAGTGGCAACGGTTCGAGGGGCGCAAGGGAGCCCGTAACGTGTGACGCACATCTCGTGCCCCGTTCCCAAGGCTTGGCAGAGCCGTAACCTGTATCTTCCGCGTCATGTCGGTGTGTTTCTGTCTTCGGCGTCGGGCTTGTTCACCTGTCCCGTCCTCTACGCCAATATTTTTCCTTTTTTCCTGCCCCTTCCCCTAGGTGTGCAACTGGTTGCATCTCGAGCGTGTCCAAATGCACCGAGGTGCGGCGACGGCTGGAGCAACGCTCAACACGCAGTCACATGCGACTTCTGGGTTGTCTTGGGGCGTCTCTGGGCTGCTTTGGGGTCGCGATGTGGCGGAGCAGGATGAGGAGAGACGTTCTGATGATGCCGATGATGGTGATGATGATGCTACTGCTGCTGATGATGCTGATTCTGTGGATGATGAAGATGATGCGGATGTTGATGATGATGCCGATGACGATGATGCTGATTCTGATCATGCTGGTGATGATGACACTTGTGGTGATGCGGCTGATGATGATGCAGACGAAGACGAACTGGATTCCAGGAGCAGGATGCTTGTGGCGAACGGAGAGTCCGCACATCATGATGCTGATGATGATACTGATGCTGATTATGATGATGTTGCTGATGCTGATGTGATGCTGCTGATGATTCTGATGATGATCATGATGCTGATTCGGATGAGCCGGATGATGATGATGATGATGATGATGATGATGATGATGATGATGATGATGATGATGATGATGATGACGCTGACGGTGTTGATGCTGATGATGCTGCTGATGATGATGATGATGAGGATGCTGATGCTGATGCTGATGAGGAGGAACGGTCCTGTGATAACGTGTGGCATCTATTGTCGGTAGACTTCCAGAGGACCGTGAATACCTCCGTGTGGCGGCGTTTAGGGCAAGGCCCAACATATCGTCACATGTGGTACCTCGGCCGTCTTGGAGCTACCTTAGGTTTCTGTGAGCTCGTGTTGAGGCGGAGTAGGACGATTATGAACATGATGGCACTGGTCGGCAGGAAGGACGTAACCTGCGCCAAGCACCCTGAATCGCTGCATAGCCGGACTAATGAATAGATCTCGAGCCTGCAGGGCACTCTGTGTGGCAATGGACCGCGCACGGTTTACAAGGGCGTCACGCGTGACACATCTCGTCTGTATTCCTCGGGGGGCTCCTGTCATGATGCGGACACAGCGGTGATGATGGGGAGAAGGATGCGGATGAGGAAAAGGATGAAAACAACCCTACGTAACATGTGTCACCCCTTCTCTCCTCTCTCTCTCTCTCTCCCTCTTCTCTTCCGTGTCTCCTTTTGCTTGGCGCTTACTCTATGCTTTTTAGTGGGTGGTAGGGTCGGCCGCTCGGAGTCTTCGGCTTGTTGTGGGCGTGTGTGTGTGTGTGTGTGTGTGCATGTGTCACCCCTTGTCAGGGGATGTCTAGAATGCTGGGCACGGCTGCCCCTCGCACGATGCTGAACGCTCTCCGTGTGGGGACGCTTGGAGCGAGGCTGGGGAAGCCATCGCACGTGACACCTCGGCCGCCTTGAGGATAAGCTGGGCTTGCTTGAGGAGTAGGGTGATGACGATGCACACGTTCTGATGACACGTGGGTAGGGCGCAACAAGGTAATTCTTTACGCTTCGCGTATCCCCACCAGCCCATCTCAAAACAGCAACTCGTGCGAAGCATGCCGACAGTCGTGTTTTTCAGGCGTGTTTCCGCCTGCCCCCGCATATCTCCCCTGTTCCTCCTTCCTCCCGCCTCCTTGTACATCCTCCTTGTGGTGGGAGCGGGAGAAGGACGAGGCGGAGGAGGAGGGAGAGAAAGCGCTCCTCGTGGTTTGAGTCGTTTGGGGTTTCTCGTCCTGGTGTGAGTCGTTCGGGCCCTTCTTCCTGGTGTGAGTCGTTCGGGCTCTTCGTGGTGTGAGTCGTTCGGGCTCTTCGTCCTGGTGTGAGTCGTTCGGGCTTCTCGTGGTGTGAGTTGTTCGGGCCCCTCGTCCTGGTGTGAGTCGTTCGGGCCCCTCCTCCTGGTGTGACTCGTTCGGGCTCCTCGTGGTGTGAGTCGTTCGGGGCCCTCGTCGTGGTGTGAGTCGTTCGGGTGATGACGATGCACACGTTCTGATGACACGTGGGTAGGGCGCAACAAGGTAATTCCCTCTTCCTAAACCTCCACTCAACCCGTTGACCGGTCGACAGCCCTTGTCGGGATGCTTCTGCAAGGCCGCAGACGGTTACCTCTTGAGCGCTGGTACCTGCACTCGGCGGGGATACGGTGGGAGCGACGCGCAGAACGCCGTCACCTCTGACACCTCGGCCCGTCTTGGGGATACTCTTGGATTGCTTCGAGTCGTACGAGGGTGCGGACACACTACATTGCGACGGGGATCAAAGGCGTACTGGATGAACTTCTCATGTCGGGTCCTCCAGCAAATCTTTGACACATGGGCAGCTCCTGTCGCCATGCCTCCAGAAGGGCGCAAACGGATACCCCTCGCGTCTCGGGACATGTGCTTTGTCCAGAGATGGCAGGAGCAACGCCCAGAACACGGTCACACGTGACACCTCAGCTGTCTCGGGGCCTTGGGTTGCTGTGGGGAGCTGATTACAAGATGTTGCGGCTGATGATGCAGCTGCTGATGAAGATGCTGATGTTGGTGGTGACGATGACGATGATGGTGATGGTGGTGATGATGATGACGATGATGATGATGACGATGACGATGACGATGACGATGCTGCTGATGATGATGCTGATGATGCTGCTGATGATGATGATGGCGATGGCGATGGCGATGGCGATGGCGATGATGATGGCGATGGCGATGATGATGCTGATGATGACGAGAAGGTGGAGGATGCTGCTGCTGATGATAATTCTGACGGTGCCGCTGCTGCTGATGGGCAGGAGGAGTAGGACAAGGATGGGGAGGGGCGGTGGGCCACGATAAGGAGGACGATTCTAGTGGCGGGCGCGCTGGATGAGGAACCTGCTGACGATGCTGGTAATGATGATGGTGTTGTGATAATGATGGTTGTGATGATGATGGTGGTAATATTTTCGATGATGGTTCTGCTGTTTATGATGATGATCGTGATAAGTCTAATGATAAGGATGGTGATGCTTATGATAGTTTTTATGCTGATGATTATGATGGCGATGATGTCGTTGATGATGATGCGGATGATGATGATGATGATGCTGATGATGATGATTATGATGATGATGATGATGATAGTTATCACTGCTGCTGCTGATTCGTTTGTTGCTTGTGGTGGCGATGATGATGACGACGATGACGATGATGATAATACTGCTGCTGATGATGAGGATTAGCATGATGATGATGACGATGAACATGATGCTGATGATGCTAATCCTGATGGTGATGATGATGCTGATGATGATGGTGATTATGATGATGCTGCTGATGATGCTGATGATGATGCTGATGATGATGATGATGCTGCTGCTGACGATGATGATGATGATGATGATGATGATGATGATGATGATGATGTCGATGATGCTGCTGCTGATGATGAGGATGATAATGATGATGATGATTTTGATGCTGATGATGATGATTCTGCTGATGATGATGATGATGATGATGATGATGATGATGCTGTTGCTGATGATGATGATGCTGCTGCTGATGATGCTGATAATGATGCTGCTGCTGATGCTGATGATGATGATGATGATGATGATGATGATGATGATGCTGATGATGATGCTGCTGATGATGATGATGATGATGATGATGATGATGATGATGATGATGATGATGATGATGATGATGATGATGATGATGATGATGACGATGACGATGATGATGATGATGACGATGATGATGCTGAGGAGGAGGAGGAGGAGGAGGAGGAGGAGGAGGAGCAGGAGGATGTGGAGGCCTCTTGCGCAGTCTTGGGGCACTTGGACCGTCTTGCGGCACCCTTGGCCGTCTGGAGGGTCTCTTCGGGTCGCCGTGAAGCCGTCTTGGGGCCGTTTTGGGCAGTCGAGGGGCCTTCTTGGGCCGACTTGGGTCCCTCTGGGGGGCCTCTTGGGTCAACTTGGGGTTTCCTTCGGGCCGTCCTACATCGCCCAGGAGCCCCCCTGGGGATCTCAGCGGGCTTTTGTAGGCTTCGAAGACCGCCCGCGTGCCGATCTCCGACCAAAGAGCGGTGAAAGCCAGCAGCACGGAACGTTCACAAGGAGAATCTATGATTTGCCTTCGAAGGCCTCCCGGAGGGCGTCTCGGGGGTGTCTAGGAGCCTCCTGGAAGCCTCTTGTGATCTATTCGGCGCTCTTCGGGAGCGATGTCGGTGCCCCTTGAGGCAATCTGGTTGGAAGCTTTTGGATCGCGTGTCGCTCAGCCAGTTCTGGCCCACCACGCTGCGGCGCGACACGCTAGCCTTAAGTCTGGCGTGTCCCCCTACAGAGGGATTTTAGACGAAAAATAAAAAATAGTCAAAACATATCCCAAAATGGTCAAATATATTCCAGAAATAGTCCCCAGACTATTTTTCGACTATTTTTGAATATTCCCCCTGTAGAGGGACAGGCCCGACTTAATGCGTCAGCGCCCTGAGCCTTTCCGAGGCCCCCGCCCCTCAGAGCGGAGCGCCATGCTGCCCAGTCGCAAGGCATCGCGTGTCGCTGGGGCCGCCTCGGCGGCAGCGTCTCCCGAAGCCTCCTTTTTTCCCCAGCGCAAAAAAATAACAAAGAAAGAAAAGGTTTTTTCCCGCAGCTTCCAGCCGTACAGTCGGGGCGCTGACTAAGGAACCCTATTCGTTGGGGAGGGGCTCGGTGTTCCTTGATTGTTTCACAGCTTGCCTCAGGTTTTTCTTAGGTTTTCCATGGGGAATCGAAGATTATTTTATGGAAGAAAGGGGCCTCGTTCCTTCTTTAGGGTTCCTTAGGTCAACGCCCCGACTGTATTTGGCCGTCCCCGGCCGTCAGCGGCGGCCTCGCAGAGCGCCGGCGGGCGCCACGCCAGGGAGAGCCGTCGGGTCGCCCCAGGGGAGCTCTCCGGGGGAGAGGGGAGGCGGGCGGTGCACGCCATAGTGTGTGTGTGTGTGTGTGTGTGACGGGAGGGCGCGGCGCGCGTCCCTCCCCCCTCCTCCTCCTTCTCCTTCCTCCTCCTCCTCCTCCTCCTCCTCCTCCTCCTCCTCCTCCTCCTCCTCCTCCTCCTCCCCTCCTCCTCTCCTCCTCTCCTCCTCCTCCTCCTCCCCCCTCCTCCTCCCCCCTCCCCCCCCCCTCCTCCTCCTCCTCCTCCTCCCCCCTCCTCCTCTCCTCCTCCTCCCCTCCTCCTTCCTCCTCCTCCTCCTCCTCTCCTCCTCCTCCTCCTCCTCCTCCTCCTCCTCCTCCTCCTCCTCCTCCTCCTCCTCCTCCTCCCCTCCTCCTCCTCCTCCCTCCCTCCTCCCTCCTCCTCCTCCTCCTCCTCCTCCTCTCCCCCTCCCCCTCCCCCCTCCTCCTCCCCCCTCCCCCCTCCTCCTCCTCCTCCTCCTCCTCCTCCCTTGCCTTCGTCCGTCTGTCGTCCGTCGCTCGTCTGTCGTGTCGTGCCACTGGGCCTCGTCTCCGCTTTTGGAAGAGAAGGGGCGTGACAGGAGTTGGGGGTCCCGAGAGCTCTTCTGCGAGTCCTGCCAGGCAGCCTCTCGGATTCCATCGCGCCTCTGCGCGGCTGCGCGCAGGGGTGGCCCTTCGCCGGAGGGACCTCTGGTGCGGGCTCACAGGCACCCCCCCGCACGGGCCTGCGCGCTCGGGTTTGGCCTACGCGCGGCCCCCTGAAGGCGCACACCCAAGGTCGCTCTTGCCCAGGGTCACTCTTGCGTGCAGTCGCCCTACGTGCCAGGGGGCACGGCGGCGGATACGAAGAGCGACTTCACCACGATGGGGCCCGCCGCCCGCATCTGGGTCTTGAGTGCCCGGCCATGGAGAGTTGCTGCTCGTGTGCCTGATCACCTGCAAGAGGGTTTGGCAACGGGAGACGCGTAGCGGCGTTGCGAGTGAGCTAGCGACATGCTTGCAACGTGCCAGGATCTGGCCAGTGTCTTGGTCCTGGAGCCTGGAGCCCGAGAAGCGGGCGCTGTGAAAGTGAACACACACTCGGGTTTCGTGGGGCTACCCTGGCTGAGTCACTCATCTCGTGCCCCCTACCCGCTTTCTGGGGTGACTGGTTGGAGCCCCTCCTGGCCTCCTCGCTGCCCTTCGTGGCCCCGTTGCAGCCCTTCGTGGCCCCCTCGCTTTGTTTCGTGGCCCCGTTGCAGCCCTTCGTGGCCCTCTGGCTGCCCTCCGTGGCCCCGTTGTAGCCCTTCGTGGCCCCGTTGCAGCCCTTCGTGGCCCCCTCGCTTTGTTTCGTGGCCCCCTCGCTGCTTTTCGTGGCCCCATATATGTATGCCCTTCGTGGCCCCCGCTCGTTCGCGCCCGTGGTGGCCCCATATGCATGCCCTTTGTGGCCCCGCTGTCGCCCTTCGTGGCCCCCTCGCTGCCCTTCGTGGCCCCGTTGCTGCCCTTAGTGGCCCCGTCCTCGCCCTCCGCGGCCCAGTATACGTATGCCCTTCGTGGCCCCCGTTCGTTCGCTCCCGTTGTGGTCCCATGTGCATGCCTTTCGTGGCCCCGCTGTTGCCGTTTGTGGCCCCCTCACTGTCCTACGTGGCCCAGTTGCTACCTTCAGTGGCTCCGTCGTGGCCTTCTGTGGCCCCGCATGATCTGTCCTTCGTGGCCCCCGGTCGTTCGCGCCCGTCGTGGCCCCATGCGTATGCCTTTCGTGGCTCCGTTGTCGCCCTTCGTGGCCCCCTCGCTGCCCTTCGTGGCCCCGTTGCTGCCTTCAGTGGCCCCGTCCTTGCCCTCCGCGGCCCAGTATACGTATGCCCTTCGTGGCCCCCGCTCGTTCGCGCCCTTCGTGGCCCCATACGCATGCCCTTCGTGTCCCCGCTGTCGCCCTTCGTGGCCTACTTCGTGTCCTTGTGGCCCTGCTGTCGTTCTCTCTCGCTCTCGCTTTCGCTCGTCGTCGTCGTCGCCGCCGTCGTCGTCGTCGTCGTCGTCGCCGTCGTCGTCGACGTCGTCGTCGTCGTCGTCGTCGTGGTCGGTCCCCTGACCGTCCCTCTTGGGGTCGGGTCGACGGTCCGCGGCCGCCCCGCCGAGCAACGTTGCCGCTGGCCAGGCCGACGGTCCGCGGCCGCCCCGCCGCTTGCCGGAGCCTGGCCTGCAGGGAAGAAAGGTATACCCCCCAACAGGGGTTCGATCGAAGACGAAGAGGGCGGGTATCGAGGGTTTGGGAAATACGCGTTATTGGACACTCGAGCAGACAAGGGCGAGCAGTCTTACAATGGTTGTTATTATTGTTGTTGTTATTGTTGTTGTTGCTGCTGTTGCTGCTGCTGCTATTGATGTTGTTGCCCGTGTTGTTTTTGTCGTTGTTGTTGTTGTTGTTGCTGCTGTTGTTGTTGTTGTTGTTGTTGTTGTTGTTGTTGTTGTTGTTGTTGTTGTTGTTGTTGTTGTTATGGTTGTTGCTATCGTGATCGTTATGGTATCATCAAAGGGATGCTATAGTTCTTGTTCTAATTGTTTCATTTGTTATATTAATTCACGTTGTTATCATTCGTGCTGTTATTATGATATAGTATCTCGAATATACTAGTACTGGCTCCATTCTTATGATTGTTAGTATCGGTATTATCTCTCTTATTATGTTGATGATGCTGCGAACGAGGAGTATGAGGAGGAGGAGGAGGAGGAGGAGGAGGAGGAGGAGGAGGAGGAGGAGCAGGAGCAGGAGGAGGAGGAGGAGGAGGAGGAGGAGGAGGAGGAGGAGGAGGAGGAGGAGGAGGAAGGGTGGATGCGAAGGAGGGTCGAGGTGGAGGAGGAGCCGAATCCACAGCGGTGGTGGTGGCAGCCGCAGCTGCGGCGTCATCGCGCAGGAGCCTTGGCAGAGGCGCCGGCGCGCGGGAAAGCCTGGCGGCTGTGCGCCCGCGGCCCAGGCCGTACCTCTTCGCGGCGATGATGGTGCTGATGATCTTCGGGCTTTTCCTGGCCTTCTTCCCCATCCCCTTCCTGCAGACCGTGTGCCCGCTCCCACTCCTCCTGCTTTTCCGCCTCCCCGGAGGTCCAGGCGTCGCATTGCTTTCGCGCCGGGCGTATGCTGTACTTGCGCGCAACGTCGGATCTCTGGGCCATCCTCCAACCTGCTCCTCCCTCCCCCGCTTTCTCTTCCTCCGGCTCCTCCCTCTTGTCCGCGTGTCCGCCCGGTCCCCGCGCCAGGCTGCAAGGAGTCCGAACAGGGCCAAAGGGAGGGAATGGCCCAGGGGGCTGGTCAGGCATGCCCCCCCCCCCCCCTCGAGGAGCTGCACCCCAGAACCAGGCCCAGATCGCCCCCTCCTGATGGGTCTGGCCCGGGCTTCCCTCCTCCTCGCGAGCCGCCCCCCCGTCCTGGCCACTCTCCTGCATGCGGCATGCGTTGCGCTGGGCTTCAGTCGGGCGTGTCCCTCTACAGGAGGAATATTCAAAAATGATGGAAAATACTCTGGGGATGTTTTTGGCGTGTTACAAAAAAAGGTTTGAACACATTATATATATATATATGTATACATTTACATATACATATATATATATATATATGTACATATATACACACAAAAACAACTCGCTCAAAATCCGCCTGTATAGGAGGACATGCCCGACCTAACGCTGGACCCGCCGTCGGGAAAGGGCCCGCGCCCGATCGAACTCCGCGACCGGAGCCCTCCTCGGGCGGGCGCCGTGCCGCGAGGGGTGCCGCGGGCCCTCGGCAGCGGCGAGCTCGCCGCTGCTCTCGGCCGCGAGCCTCGCCCACGGCGCCCGGGATCCGAGGGCCCCCGCCGCGGGCGGCGCGGCCCCTCCCGGCCACCCTCGCTGGCCTCTGCCGAAGAGGTCGCGCCGGGGCCGCTCGTTTTTTTTGTTTTTTTTTTTTTTTTTTGTTGTGTGTTTTTTATTTTTTTGTTGGACTTGTGTATATATATATATAAACAAATAATATATATATGTAATGTGTGTATATATATATATATATGTGTGTGTGTGTGTGTGTGTGTGTGTAAATTTCGGCCTCTAGGGGCCTCGCCTGGCCCCTGGACTGTCAAAAAAAGACTCAGGATGAAAAACAGGTCCTGGGGAATGGGTCGAGACTTCCAGGGGGGGCGCATTGAAAAAATCGCGACATCGGGTCTCTGGGTTCTGCCTTTCCCGCTCGCACGGGGTGCGTCAGGGGTGGTGGTGGCTCGTGCGAGTTTGGGGGAGGTGACGAGACCCTTGTCAAGATGGCCCGTTTGGGCTCTGGCCCAGAGGAGGAGGAGGAGGGGTAGGAGGAGGAGGAGGAGGAGGAGGAGGAGGAGGAGGAGGAGGAGGAGGAGGAGGAGGAGGAGGAGGAGGAGGAGGAGGGAGGAGGAGGAGGAGGAGGAGGAGGAGGAGGAGGAGGAGGAGGAAGAAGACTGGGAGGAGAGTCAAGTAGCACTGCTGCTGCTGATGATGATGATGATGACGATGATTATGCTGATGCTGATGATGATGCTGATGATGCTGCTGCTGATGATGCTGATGATGCTGCTGATGATGATGATGCCGATGCTGATGATGCTTATGCTGCTGCTGATGATTGTAATGATGAATATGCTGACCATGATGATTATACTGATGCTTATGATGCCGCTGCTGCTGATGATGAGGATGATGCTGATGACGATGATGATAATGCTACTGATGATGATACGGATGCAGATGCTGCTGATGATGACGATCATAATCATGACGCTGATGATGGTAATGCTGATCTTGATGCTGATGCTGATGATGAGTTTGATGATGATGATGATGATGCTGCTGATGATGATGATGATGATGATGCTGATGCTGATGCTGATGCTGATGCTGATGATGAGGATGATGATGATTCTGATGATGCTGATGATGCGGGTGATGCTGACGATGATGGTGATGATGCTGAGGATGACGATGATGATGCTGATGATGATGATGATGCTGATGTTTGTGATGATGAGGATCACGGTGATGTTGTTGATGTTGTGGTTGTAATTGTGGTTGTAATTGTTGTTGTTGTTGTTGTTGTTGTTGTTGTTGTTGGTGTTGTTGTTGTTGTTGTTGTTGTCGTGGGTGGTGTTGTTGGTGGTGGCGGTGGTGGTGGCGCTGATTGTGATGGTGGTGTTGGTGGTGGTGATGATGATGATGATGATGGTGATGATGATGATGAGGAGGAGGAGGAGGAGGAGGCCGATGAAAATGATAACGGAGATGGGGAAGAGGAGGGGGATAATAGAAGGATAGTTGCGAGGACAGGGGGAGGAGCATGAAGGGGGCAAGATGGATGAGGAGGAGGAGAAGGAGGAGGAGCAGGAGGAGGACGAGGAGTAGTAGAAATCATGACCATGCTGCAGCTGCTGCTGAGAAGGAGGAGGAGCGGTAGGTTAAGGATAAGGATGAGGATGCTGGGCAGAATGAGATGCGCAATAATGTGCAGGTTGAACACAGGTACAGTATCTGTCTGACTGGACGAGGGCTTTCTCTGCACTCGTGCCATGCCCGTTTTGTGTTTCTTCCCACCACCTCTCTCTACCACGCCCTCTCCAGGGTGATCCTACCTCGCACAGCTCCGCACGCCTCGCGTTCCTCTTTGATTGCATGGCATGCGGACCAGTCTCTGTTGCGTCTCAGGTATTGCTGTATTGGGATTATGCTGTTCTCGTTTTACCTGATCTACGACACGCAGGCGGCTTTCATCCCACTCTCTGCCGCTTCCTTGTTTGCTCCTCGATTCCCTCCAGGCTTGTCTTTTCTTTTTTATGTTGTTTCCGATGTCCTCCCGCAGTCTTTATCGCTTGCCCTCCTCCAGTCTTCCGAGAAGGGTACCGTCAAGGTCGCCACCGAGGGTGGTCGCCAGCCGCCTTTGCACACCAGGTCTGCTCGACAGCAAGATGCCCTTGAAGGCTCGATTCCACCCAACACCTCAAGCCTCGGCCGGGACCCTAGTCGCGTGGGGCTGCCCGAATGCTCCTGGTTGTGAGCTCCCCTGTTCCCCTATCATCCGCAGGACGTCCGCTGGGTTCGTGGCTTCTTTCACGGCCCCTTGCCAGACACTGGCTTTCAGCCTGTGTGTGCGATGATCTTCTTGGTCCCCTGCCTCGGCGATGTACGCAACATCAGCCTCTCAGGCGTCGCGCGGGCGCCAGGATGACCGCGCTTCGCGCTTCGTGCGGCGAGGCTGCGTAGGCGATCTGCGGTTGGTTCGCGCCGCGTCGACGCGGCGGCGACCCCAGCGCTGGCGCTCAAAGTCGAGCGTCGGCAGTGACTTGGGAGTCGGTCAACCTCGAACGATCCGCGCGCGCCACTGGAAAGCCGCGATCCTTCAAGGCTGAGCGATCCACGCGGCGTCGGAGACCACAGCGCAAGGCGCTTTGGCACGCACCGCCAGCGGCACCCTAGGCTGCGTGCCTCCGAGCCGCGCCGCCCTCGCCGCGCCGCCCGCAGCCGCGGCCGACGGCGCCCGCAGGCCGCGGCGGCGCCCAGCCGTCGCCGGCCGCAGCTCCTGAGGCGACCTCGCCGAGGGCGGCAGCCGCGGCAGCCGCGAGCTGACCGCCTCCGCCGCGCCCGCCCCCCAGAGCTGCACGGCCGCCCCCGCCCGCGGCCGCGCGCATTGTGGGCCGGCGACGGCCGGAGCCCCGGCGGGCGGCCCTCCCGCTCGGGAGGCACTCCTCGGGGAGGCGGGCCTCCAGCGCCCCCCGCCCTGCGGCGGGGCCGGCACGGCACTGGCCGCAGCTCGAGGCACGACGTGGCGCCGCCGCGTCGCCCTGCGAGCGGGGCCGACCGTGCCCCCCCCTGGCGTCGCCAGCTCGCCGCGGCGCCGAGCCCAGACCCCCTCGCGCTGCGAACAGAATCACGACGAGAGGGCTTCCGCTATTGTCGGCCTCCGGGAGCCCTTGCCGGGGCCGTCAGCAAAGCGACTCGGGATGTTGATGATACCACCGCCGATTGATTGGTGATGATGCTGCTGATGATGATGAAGGTGATGCTGGTGATGATGATACTGGTGATGATGATGATGATGATGATGATGATGATGATGATGATGATGATGATGATGATGATGATGATGATGGCGATGCTGATGCTGATGCTGATGCTGATGCTGATGCTGATGCTGATGCTGATGGTGATGGTGATGATGATGATGATGATGATGATGCTGATGCTGATGCTGATGCTGATGCTGATGCTGATGATGACTACGATGATGTTGTGGAGGACGGTGATGATGCTGCTGATGATGCTGCTGATGATGCTGACGCTGATGATGATCAGGATGATACTCACGATGATGATGCTGATGACGATTATGATGATTCTGATGGCTGCGATGCTGACGACGACGATGGTGATGATGCTGATGGTGATGATGCTGACGACGATGATGATGATCATGCTGATGATGGTGCTAATGATGACGATGATGCTGCTGATGATGATGTGCATGATGATGCTGATGATGATGATGATGATGATGATGAT